TGGAAGAGCATTTGCGGACGGGCCGAGTATGGGGATGGGGGCGAGGAGTGGGGCTCGGGATGGGGGATGCGGCGGGGATGGGGGAATGGATAGATCTGGGGATGGCGAGGGTAATATCATGGCGACATGGGGAAGAGATAGAGATGCAGACTCTTGGGAGGCGACATCGGGGGGGAGTAATGAGAGAATGGGAGGGAGGAGTGGGTGAAGAGGGAAAGGGGAGGGGAAGGGAGCGGGGAGCACGCATGAGGAGCGAAGGATGGCGGGTAACGAACTCTCAGGTTTGTCCAGGTTTGTCCTCGCCCTTCAGGTTGACCTACCCCCACGCCGTTTTGCTTCTTCACCCTGGTCTTCCGACGTTGTGGTTTGTTCAACACGTAGGCCTCAGGAGATTCCAGCCCCATCCATAGATTCTGCTATCCGACGCGGGCAGCTTTTTGGTGCCCCTGGGGTCCGAAGATGGCCTTAGGCTAATTTTTGATAGAGAAAAACACGGCCGTCCTACAGTCGAGTCGCATAGTAAGGACGAGCGACTTTCCAAGGCTAGCCTTGCATCCTTGCTCCTTCGGCTCATCCTTGGCCTTTTCGCTGGCCGCGCGTCACGGGCCGACGTGTCGACGTGGCTTTCCAGGGCCCCCTGCATCCTGAACGTGCATCCTTGTTTTTCAGGCGATCGCAAACATGAATCAAGGGGGCGAGGATTAGCGACGGTCCCGTTTCCATGGGAAATCACGGGCTTCCGCCGCCGAGCGAGGCGGCACCATCCGCATTTTGGGGATGGCGCTTCCCCCGATCCATGGACTTGGTGACCGCGCGCCAAATCCATGGATCGCTAATCCGCGCCTGCGCGCCCCCGAGTTGTGCGACTTGGCTGCAGTTTTTGCCCCCGCCTTCTTCTTCACCCTCGAGGGGAGAAGACCGGGTGTTGCCAGAAGTGCCCCCTGGCCCAAGGTGCCCCTGGCTTTTCGCTCCATTTGGAGCCCCCTATGGCCTCTGTGCCTCGTGAGGGGTGCTCTGGGAGGCCGCCTGGGCTACCCCGAGAATCCTGGGGCCGCCTTGGGCCAGGGGCACTTCTGGCAGCACCCCGAGCAGGAGGCCCGCCCCGCTCCGCGGGGCCCGCGCCCCGCCGCTCTCCCGTCCGCGCTGCCGGCGGTCGCTGGCCCCGAGCCAGCGCGCGCGCGCCGCCAGGCGTCGCCCCGGGGTCGCCGCAGGGCGCGGGGCTCAGCCTGGACCCGGAGGGCTCCAAAGGGTTTTTTTTTTGGGGGGGGGGGGGGCTCTCCAGGGGGGGGGTCCCCCAGGGGGCTTCTGCACCCCCTGTCTTGACGAGGTTCCGAGGCCCCTGGGGGGCTCTCTGGAAAACCCCCTCCCAAAAAATTGTCTTTGGAACCCTCAGGTGGACGGGAGGCTCAAACTTCGCGGAGGAGATCGGCTGCTTTTTGAGAAGGCCTCACGGCCGGTGGCGCCGACCCTGAAAGGGGACGACGACCACGCCGGCCACGTCGGCGGCGGCGACGACGCCGACGTGGGGCAGAGTCGCCAGTGATGCCTCGTGGGGCCTCCTCGAAGCGCGCTCGCAGGCCTCTGGGGTGCAGTTTGGGGGCCTCTTGGGAGTATCTTGGGAGCCTCTTGGGAGCCTTTTGGGGGTCCCTTTGGGATTCCTCGGGGCCTCGTGGGGGCCTCTTGGGGCCTCGTGGGGGCCTCTTGGGGACCTCTTCGGGGCCTCTTTGGGGCCTCCTGGGAGCTTTCGGGGCCGAGGGCTTGAAATGTTCGTTCGGGTTCTCGTGTAGGCACCCTGTTAGACCCGTTTGGGGGGCCTCTTGGTCCGTCCGGGAGACCTCTGCCAGAACCCCCAGGACCCCCGCCCCCCGCCCCCCCTCCCAGGGGGAAGGGATCAAAGGGAAGGGGCTCCCCGTCGACTTCAACTACGACGTTGCTCCATTTCGCTTTGGTTTCACTTTGGCTGGCTCGCTTGAGGAAGAGGGCCCAGCGAAAAAGTGGGGGAGCGGCGACGGGCCCAGGGAAAGGGGGGTCAAACGCGACGGCGACGACGACGACCTATGACGACGACGACGACGACGACGACGACGACGACGACGACGACGACGACGACGACGACGACCTATGACGACGACGACGACGACGTCGAGTCAAACTGAACATTGTCTTCCACATGCCGACAAGGTTGGCGGATCTGCTTTATCTTAAAGCAGAAAGTTTCGCTGAATCGACAAAAGACATGTTTCATGCTTGCAGGTCTGCGCAAAGCCTGGCGATGTTTTAGATCTCAACGAGCAAATGGACTTGTGTGGCACGTCAATTTTGCAGGCGGGCTCCTGCTCGAGAATCCGTGGCCCTCCTGCACCCCAGCCCAGACCTCCTGGTCGTGTTCTCTGCGTCTGCTGGTCTTTTCTTGCGGGGTGGGGCTCCTCGCTGGCCCATGCCTCGTGGGCTGGCGCCCCCCCCCCCTCCACAGCGGCGCAGCAAGAGGTGCTCTGGTAGTTCGCCGCGCCGCGTTTTTTTTTGCTTTCTCCCTCCCTGGCCTTCTCTCACATCTTGCGGCAGTCCTTCTCCTGCGCCCCAGGCCTCCTGGCGTCGCGACGGGAGGTGTTCGGGATCAATTTTGGTTACTGGTGCAGTCATTGGGCCCTGGGACCGTCGAGCAACGGCTCAGGATGACGAGTGGGTCCCCGGGAAGTTGTCGAGAGGTCCGTGGGCCCCGTGTCGAAAAGAAGAACGCTGTCGGCAGAATGGCTCCTCCCCCCACCACCTGCGATCATGATGTTCCAACCTACTTTAGCCTTGATCACCAAAAAGAGTTTCGAGCACCAGAAGGTACCGAAACTCGAGATGTTTCACTTGTCGGGCCCTAGGAGACACTCGTCCGATACTGTTTCGACACTCTTTCGACACTCTTTCGACACTTTTCCGGGTGCTCGATCTAGTTTCTGGGATGTGGTCCTTAAGTACGATGGGAGCAACATAAAACTACGATCAAGGGGTGAGGGTTCTAGTCCGACGCTCTGGTGGCAATGGGGACGGCCGGTGCGCGGGCGCCAGTCGGGGTCCAATCGTCCACGTCGAAGATATGAAGCATTTCGACTGTCCGTGGCGCCCAAAAATCATGAGTTTGCTGGTCATTTGGACTCCACTGGTTAACCAAAAAGCTGACATTTGGGGGCTCCCGGTCGAATACCAAGTATCCATGCAGTATGTTATGTGAAGGTTTGGGCGCCGGCTGGCGGTCCCTTGCCATGTGGCGTCCCTCCTTGAGCGATCGGAACATTGGAAGTCTGAGTAACGGCCACGAGTTCCTGGGCAACTGGTCCGCGGGGCGGAGTCCCAAACTTCCACCTGCCCAGAAACCGTCCGGGAGCTTCCGAGGCTGGAATATGTTTCAAGTCGGGCCCGTCCCTCTACAGGAGGATATATTCAAAATAGTCAAAAACTAGTATGGGGACTATTTCTTTGTATTTTTGGGCATCTTTTGAATATTGCTTGAGTGTGTTAAATTTTGCGTCCAAGATCCGCTTTTAGGAGGACACGCCCGACCTCAGAATACGTTGTCTCCGACAGTCGGCCCGAAATCGAACCTCTTGGAGCACCAGTCGGAGTCCCAATAGTCTGTGGGTCTAGAGGCCAGCGAGGACCCTTCGCGGCGGAATCATTTGGATGGCAAGAGCTGTCTTTTCCAGCTCGGGCCCTGCTGAGGCTTGGGGGCATTTTGACCTCGATGTTGTGGCGAGTTTGCCTAGCAATCTGATCACCAGTCGAGCCCCTACGCTCGTGTGCCCAGAGACCGACCCCGATTTTCCGAGGATTGGATATTGGGGCTTCAGCTCGTGCTCAAAACGTCGTTTCTTCTGAACGCGAGTCAGAGTCTCAATGTTCCATTGGCACAGGGGCCAACTCAGATTTTTGTTGAGCGTGTTTTTCTGAGCGCGTATGGCGAACTTTGGGGCCTGCGGCCAGATATCGTCGAAACTGAGTCGCATAATGGTTGTTGCCACAGGCGAGTGCCAATCGGTACAGGCTGCATCTTCGTTTTCATTCTTCGGCAGAAGGCGAAGCCTTTCCATTGTGAACGCTTGCATTGTTTCAGATCTCTTGTGGCGCTTCTTCGCTGCGTGCTTGAGCAAGCTCGAAATCAAGATGTTGGATGACTTCGCGACCCGCTGTCTCGAGGGAATATTTCGCGTCCCAGCGGCGTATGGTAGCGGGGTGTCTAACGCAACTGTCCTAACAGTACGGTAGGTTCATGCGGCGTTGGCGCGCCTGCGACGCCGGCGAAGGCGTGTAAGGTTGAATATTGCCACGTGGAAGCACTGAGGGACGCGATAACGCCAATGGACCCGACAGAATTCAACTTTGAACGATCGGGGCCGCGATCGGTTCAAGGCTGAACGATCGACGCGGTGTCACAAACCTTTGTGCGCCCCGACGCCGCACGAACCTAATTACCGTAGTTGAGCTGGCCAGCTGGCCTCTGGGCGAAGGTTTCTGCAGGCGTTATAGCTGGATGATTTCGAAACCGGCTGTCTTGGGAATATTACGCGTCCCAGCGGCACATACATATATATATATACACACAAGATTTTGTTGGCTCGCTTCGCTTCGCCACAACATCTTGTCCCTGATCCTCATCCTGAGCACGGGCGCGCGGACGTTGTATGCCAGCGCGGTACAAATAATGGCGGTGCGGGTCGGCGTTTCTTCCGTCGTTTATCGCTATGTTTGACGGCTGTCGCTGCGCACGCTCTGTGGGCGTCGCGAACTGTCGCGAGGTTACTGGGGGAAACCTTTGGATAGCACGTTGTGTCTGGATCTTCTCTCCTCATACTCCTCCTCCCCCTGTTTTTTTCGCAAGCACCCTCGCGCGCACTTGCCGGCTGTCTTGCGTTGCGCCGCCAGCGTCTGTCACCGGGGCAATTAAGAAACCAATTGATACACCCATCCCACGGTTGTATATCTCGTTAGAGTCCCGGAGAAACGCTATCGCTGAGGTCGAGAAGGGCGCCGGGAAAAGTAAGGACGCAATGTGTAACAAAGAGAACATGCCATCCAAGGGTAATGTTCAAAGCACGTACGTGAGAGAACATTCAACCGTGAGGTTTATACAATTTGAGGGGCTTTGCACCGGCATACATTTTAATGCATTTATTGCATTCGCATAAACTGGTTTGGCATTGCATCGGCGTGAGACCGGCCGAAGTAGCACTTGTTAGCAAGGGTCTCGCATAGGTCACGTCGGGACGCTCGCACCGTCGGCTGTTTTCGGCGAAGTAAACTGAGGCGTTCGTCTTCCATCCGGCAATACATGTTGACGAGGCATTCGTTGAGTAGTCGCCCGCATGCGCGCATGTGGGTCAAGCGAAGCAGGCACTGGCGGCACCACCACATTTGACTGATGTGAACGCCGTTAACTACTGCATCTGGGCTCCAGCCTCGTCCTCCGGCGGGGAACCACAACAGATGCGACAATGACTCGTATAAGGGGTGCAAGAGGTGGAGATATCGAGGCGTACTCGTGGAGTGCAGCCAGAATGTCACGGTGCGTGGCTCCGCGCGACCATCGCTGTGGGCGTCAACGATTGCGGCAAGCTCGTTGATGCCAGGGTCCCATTTTATGTGGACAGTTGCGTCGGGGCCTGGGCGCCTGATTGCGCCGAGGCGCTTGACTTCGGTCATGAACGGGTTGATGGGCAACAGGATACGTTCAAGACGCCAGAGTTGTTGCGCATCGAGGCGCAGCGTTGCAGCCTGCTGGGCCCGCTCTTGAGGACCGACAACGAGGTACCGCACTGCGGTGGAATCTTGCGCTGAGAGCAGGCGTCGGCACATAGCGCCATGTATGCGCACATTGGAAGGCCGTAAGTAATTGCCGAATCGTAGCTCCTTCGTGGGGCCAGCGCTCTGAATTTCGTGGGCTGCCAACGCAAATATGTTGTTGTAGCGGCGGCCGACGGCTGTGAAGCCCGTGGGGCGGGGTGTGTTCGTAGCGGCGTCGTGGAGGGGATGTCCTTTCGCATCGGTGGCAGGCCACGTGGATTGAAATGCGCTCAGAAGAGCAAGGGAGAGGCAAAGGGAAGAACTCGGTAAAGGGAACGGCCCATTTGGCACCGTTGCAGCAGAATGTGAACGGCTCGCAAAAGGAAAAGGCGTGCTGAACAGCGCGGGCAACTCCGAGTCATGTCGCCTACCACGAAGGGCTGGTCGTCATGGGGTGGGCGCCCGTTCGCGGCACACTCCCGGCAAACTCTTGCTGAAAACCTTGGGTCGTAGGCAAGCGCGTCACTGGGTACTGCGAGGCCGCACTGGGCGCATGTCGTTTCCGGTCGGGAGCGGGTCTGGCCAGATGTTTGGGGGGCGTTCGCTGTGCAAGTGATGCATATTCGAGCCGCCCGTTTGATTCGATTGTTGCTGAGGCTTCCACGCGGGAGGTCGAGACCACAGCGGGAGCATTTCAGTTCTGTGGCGCCGGGTCGGCCACGACCCGCGGGTCGTCTGTGCACTTGCGGGGGTTGGCCGCCGTCGCCAGCACAAAGCATGGGGCGCGCGCGTCGGAAGTGCAGGCCTGCGAGCAACGCGCTTGCGGAGCCAGGGATGAGCCATGCTCCAGAAGCAAGCTTGCGGAAGCCAGAGAACATGAGCCGTCTGAGCCTAGACGGCTACGGAGGAGAAGGGATGCGATGGAAATGATAGTGACGCAGACGACAGGCTGGCGAGGGTGGTGCCGCTTAGCGAGTATGCTTTCCCAAAGGAGGGGCAGAAGAGGCCAAAATGGTCCGAACGCCTAAAGGAAATCAGTGTTTGTTGCTTCTCGCCTTTTCACCCCCGAGGGTCCCCGAGGCCTGAAGATGGCCCCAAAATTGCCCCAGAGTTCGTATGTATGTACGTGTGTATATGCGGGGTCCCCGGGGTTCATGCATGGTGGTCCTATGCTGCCAGGGGCTTGTTGGCGGTCATCGAAAAGGCGGGGACCTGGTCGCTGGCACTCCAGCATTTATCAGCGTATGTATGGGGAGCCTTTGGGGTGCTCGGGGGCTGTAGGTCTGCGAGGTCGTGTATGTATGCGGGGTCCCTGGTGGCTGGCACTCCGGTCCTCCCCGTAGTAGTGTTAATTATTTTCTTTCTCCTGCTGCGAACCCTCCTGCCCCTCTTACTCCGCCTCGTCCTGCCCCCTCCTCGTGCGCATCCCGCCGCCCCGCCCATGACGGCACACCCCTGACTTGGATCGTGGGGTCGGGGAGTCATGGGTGCCTCTCGGTGCCACGCGGCGTGCTTCTGTTGGGCTTCTGGAAGCCTTTAGATGGATCGTGAATCGGGGGCCTCCTGAAGCTTTTCTGGGAACGCCGTGCAGGACGTAGACGCGAGACCTTCCACACGCTTCATGGGATTCATTGGGAAGCCTCCTGGAGTTTTTTGAAAGTATTTTGGGAATCTCTGGGCGTTTCCTGGGCCTTTTTGGGGGTCCTCTTGGGGCTCTTCAGGGCTGGGTGGGGGCATTCTTGGGCCGTCCAGGGGCCCTCTCGGACCGTCTTGGGGGGCTTGGGCCGTCTTGGAGCCCTCTTGGGGCTTCCTTGGGCCGTCAGGGGGGCCTCCTTTGGCTCTATTGGGGCTCCCCGGGGACTCTTTTGGGACCCTCTGGGGCCCTTCTCGGGCCGTTTTGGGGCTCTCTTGGGCCGCCTTGGAGCTCTCTCGGGCCGTCTTGGCGCCCTCTTGGGGGCGTCTGGGCCGTCTTGGGGCGACCTTGGGGGCCTCTTGGGCCGCCTTGGACGCTTTGAAGACCGACGAAGCGAATAGTTTAAAGTATACGTTGTCCGAAGGGAATGGGACGATTTTTGCGTCTTGAGGGTCTCTGGGGGGTTTTTCGGGCCGTCTTGAAGGCCTCTGTGGCCGTCTAGAAACCGTTTGGGGCCCTCTTGGAGCGCTCTGGGGCAGTCTTGGGGCCCTCTAAGTGCGCTCTTGAGCCACTTTGGAGATATCTTAAGGCGCTTTGGGGGCGTTCGTGAGGTATTTGGACGGCCCAGGGGATGCCCTGAAGGACTCTTTCGGGGTCTCCGCTGGTGCCCCCGGAGACCCTGGAATGTGGTGTGCCCCATCCCTTGTGGGTTTTTTTCCGTGTCATGTAATAAGGATAAGGAGTATACATATATGTATATATATGTATATACGCACAAACTTATATGTGTGTATATATATACACATACATACATACATACATACATACATACATACATACATACATACAAACATACATACATATATTTATACATATATGTATGTATAGATATGTATACATCGGTATGTGTATATTGTCAGTGTTTCTCTCTCTCTCTCTCTGTATATATATATATATATGGTGCCAGGGTGTCTAACGCAACCGTCCTAGCAGTAGTTGAGCTGGCCAGCTGGCCTCTGGGCGAAGGGCCCCTGCAGGCGCTATGGCTGGACACTTCGTGGGCCCGCTCGCCAGGCGAGCGGACTCCAAGCCCCAGCGCGCCGCATAACTCTGTTGGTTTCGCCGCCCCGGCAGGCACGGAGCCAGAATCCGCCGAGCGGCCCGCGCAGGCGCGCCAAGGCAGAGGTGGGGCAACATGGTCACGAAGGACTGGAGTTAAGTCGAGCCTGTCCCTCTACAGGGGGAACATTCAAAAATAGTCAAACAATAGTCTGGGGAAGATTGTTTGAGTATGTTTTTCCCATGTTGGGGCATGTTTGGTGTATTTTGTTTTTTCGTCCAAGATCCCCCTGTAGGGGGACAGGCCCGACCTAAGATTGGACTTGGATGTAGTTAGATCGAGGTGGGGCAACGTGGTCATGAATAATTGGATTTGGATTGCAGGCTCATCTGAGCGTTACGTCGGGCCTGTCCCTCTACAGGGGGAATATTGAAAATAGTCAGAAGACAATGTTTCAATTGTTTTTGGACTGTTTTGGGGTGTATTTTTGAATATCTTCAACTGTTCCTCCAAAATCCGCCTGTAGGGGGACACGCCCGACCTAATCTTAGCGCGTGGATGCGTTTTTTTCCGCCAGGAGGGTGCTCTTCCGCTGGGAGGGTTAGGGCCAGGCAGACAGGTCGCGGCGGCGATATAGATTAGTTCCGCTCGAGTGCAGTGAACGTGGGCGACGCCAACTTCGTTAATTCCATGAGGTGTTGGTTGCCGTGCGCCAGCAGCTTGGACTGCTGCGGCTGCCAGCTCGTGCGGGTGTCCATCTTATTGCCCCGGGGGTCGGGGCCAACGGCGCTCGGGCTCTGTCTTCCCATCGGGCTCCTCCGCCTCCATCTCCGGAGGGTGATGAAGTGAGGGGCCCCAGGGGCTTGACTTTTTCAAGGGCACCTACCTCGATCACTTGAGAGTTAGTTGCTCTGTCGTTTCTTCTTCCTGCCGCTGCTGCTCTGCCCGCTGCTACCCCGCCGCCATGCCTGCCCGAAGGGCGCTGGGGGACCTCGCTCAGAAGGTCCCGAAGCGTTAAGTCGGGCCTGTCCCTCTAAAGGAGGAATTTCCAGAAATAGTAAAAATATAGTCTGCGGACGATCGTTTTGAATTTTTTGCATTTTTGAAATATTTGTGGAGCATGTTTGATGTTTCGTTCAACATCCCCCTGCAGGGGAACATGCCCGACCGAACCGAAGCGCCGAGAGGCGCCTCCACCGCGCCCTCCTCCACCAGCTCGCTTCCACCGCTTCCTTCGACCACGGCCGCCACCGTGCCGCACACCTCGGAGGCGGCCGCGGCCTCCGCGCGTCGCGCGCTCGCTCCCGCTCCGTGGACCTCGCGCCCTGCAGGGCACCCGCCACGCTGCCGGCCGCCGCCGCAGAGGCCGCCGAGCGAGCCTCGCCGCCGGGTTTGCCGAGGCGCCGGCCTCGGCCACGCCGAGCGGAGGCGGGACCCGGTGCAGCGGCAGGTCAGCGACGACGTGGGCCAGGGGCTCCGCGCGGAGCCCGGCGAGGTGCGCGCGCTCTCGGCGCCGAGCGCCGCGGGGGGGGCGGCCTCGGAGCAGCCGAGTCGTCGTCGAGTCGTCGAGTCGTCGTCGAGTCGCCACCGCCGTTCACGGCGTCGGGCGTCTCCGACGTTGTCGTCGTAGAGTCGTCGTCGTCGTCGTCGTCGTCGTCGTCGTCGTCGTCGTCGTCGTCGTCGTCGTCGTCGTCGTCGTCGTCGTCGTCGTCATCGTCGAAGCGTCGACCTCCCCCCTCGTCTCATCTCGTCTCCCTCGTCCTCCTGCCCCACGATGACGGGGCAAGGAACGGAGCAGGAGAAGGACAAGGCGGCGGGAAGAGGGAGGAAGGAGCTTAGGAAGGAGGCAGACGCCACGGGGCTTGTCCCAGTACCTGATAGACCGCGACTGACGGAGGAACAAGACGAGGATGAGTGGAACAAAAGGCACCATACGCACATTCCCCACCGAGCAAATAAGCCCAGCCCCAAGATCATGTGTACGCTCATGGCGGCATATTGAAACCATATGTATACGCATGCATGCCTGCGGGTAAAGTATCCTGCAGGAGACATTCCCCTCAATCCTCTTTCCTCTCTCCTCCTTCTCTTTCTCACCGTCTTCCTCTTTGCTCCGTCCCTTGCTCCTCCATCCTCTTTCCTCCTCCATCCTCGTCCCTCCTCCTACCCCTCCCCCCTCGTTCCTCCTGGGGCGGAGGGGGAAGAGCTGACTCCGGCCGTGCGTCGGGGCGCCGTGCTCTGCCCGCGCGAGAGAGGTGGTCGGGGAGCTGTCGGTTCTCATCGACCGCCCCATCCCCGCGGCCTACCGCTGCGCGACCAAGGCCCCGCAGGGCCACAGGGGGGGGGGGGGGGGGGGCGAGGGCACATGGGGGGTGGGGGGAACAGAGAGGACGAGGAAGGAGGGAGGAAGAAGGCAGGAGGGGGAGGGAGGAGGAGGAAGGTGGAGGAAGGTGGAGGGAGGGAGGGAGGAAGGGAGGGAGGAGGAGGAGGAGGAGGAGGAGAAGGAGGAGGAGGAGGAGGTGGAGGGGGAGGAGGGGAGCTTTCCCAAAAGGCTTCATCGGCGCAACGATGCCGAGAGTACTGAGGCGCTCGGGGGCCAAACCGCCACAACCATTGATACTGTTGACGCTGCCACCACAATCAAGACTGCACCAGCATGCCACCATAGCCACCACCATCTTGCCTCCTTGCCACTACCATTACCACGACCGTTCTACCCAGCAGATTCCCCCCCTCATCGTTCCTCCTGCTCCTCCCCACCTTCCCTTCCCTCGTCCCCATCCTCCCTCCCTCCCTCCCCTTGTCCAGCTCCTCCGCTGCATCACTCCCTCCCCTCCTCCCTCCCTCTCCCCCTCCCCTCTCCAGCTCCTCCCTCCCTCTCCTCCCTCCCCTTCTCCAGCTCCTCCGCTGCCTCCTGCCTCCTCCCGCCCGCTCCTCCGCTGCCTCCTGCCTGGCCGGCGACTGCGGGGGAGGAGCTCGGAGCGCGCGCCCCGCCCAGTGCCGCTTCGCGGCGCTCCCGCGCGACACGGCCCAGAAGCTCTTCCAGCTGTGCCCCAGGACGTGGTGCCTGAGGCGCCCGGGCGGCCGCCGCGGAAGGGCGAGGAGCGAGGAGGAGGAGGAGGAGGAGGAGGAGGAGGAGGAGGGGGAGGAGGAGGGCGGAGGAGGAGGAGGAGGAGGAGGAGGAGGAGGAGGAGGAGCGAGGAGGAGGAGGAGGAGGAGGAGGAGGAGGAGGAGGAGCAGCGTAAACCCAAGACTCATCAACGGTACGGCGATCAACCCTCCCTCCAAGCTCCCTCGTCTCAGGGTCCTGGAAGGCTTCACTGCGGGAAGTGCCCCGTTGGAAGACAAGCGTCTGAAGATCCTGAACTGCGCCAGGACACCATTCCTGGGACTTCAGCGCCACGCATCACCGTGACTGTTGCGTTTTGGCGATCCTGAACCGTGCCAGAATTTCATTCCTGGGGTATCCAGCACCACGAATTGTCATACTTGGGGCGCCCTGGCGATCCGACCTCGTGCCAATACGTCGTTTCTGGGACGCTAGCCCTGGGAATCCTTGAAACTGCTGTGGTCTCTGAATAGCGAAAGTGCGCGGAGCCTGGGCGAGAGCCAAGGAACCGGCCTTCCATGCGCGGCGCTAAGCGATAGTGAGTGCGATGATAATTGTGATCGTCTTGTTGCTGACGATGCTGATGCTGGTGCTGATGCAGATGATCAGGATGATGATGACGATGATGATGGTGGTGATGATGATTATGATGATGATGATGATGATGATGATGATGATGATGATGATGATGATGATGATGATGACGATGACGATGACGATGACCAGGAGGAGGAAGAAGAGCAAGAGGATGAGGAGGAGGAAGAGGAGGAGTAAGATCAGGAGTATGATGGTGAGGAGGAGGAGGAGAAGGAGGAAGAGCGCGAAGAGAGTGAGGGGAAGGCGAAGGAGGAGGGGAGGGAGGAGGGACGGGCGAAGGAGGAGAGGCGGAAGAAGGGGGGGGACAGCAAAGAGGAGGACAGGGAGGGAAGAGCAGAAGCAGGAGGAGGAGGATGTGCAGGATGATGATGCAGATGTTGATGGTGATGGTGATGATGCTGATGATGATGACGATGATGATAATGAGGAGGAGGATAAGGATGAGGATGAGGATGATGTTGATGATGATGCTGATGATGATGCTGATGATGATGCGAACAGTATGATGATGATGATGATGATGATGATGATGATGATGATGATGATGCTGATGATGAGGATGCTAATGATGATCATGACGATGCTGATGTTGATGTTGATGCTGATGATGATGCTGATGATGATGCTGATGCTGATGCTGCTGATGATGATGCTGATGATGATGATGATGATGCTGCTGCTGATGCTGATGCTGATGCTGATGCTGATGCTGATGCTGATGCTGATGCTGATAGTGAGGAGGAGGAAGAGGAGGAGGGGGAGAAAGGGGAGTAGAGGGGGAGGGGAGGGGCGAGGTGCAGGCAAAGGGGTAGGAGGCGGAGGAGGAGAAGGACAAGGAGAAGGGCCTGCGCCTTCTCCTCCGCAGAGCTCCCGCCTCTGCCCCGTCCTCCGCCTGCACCGCGGGCGGGGGACGGGGCGGTGCTGGGGCAGGCGGAGGACAGCGGCGGGTGTCCGGAGAACCCCGCTGGGCTCCAAGGCCTTCGCTTGGACCCAGACTCTGGGGGCGTGGGCCTGAAGGTCCCCCAAGTCAGAGAGCCCCTTTCCCGTCACTCCTCCTCCTCCTCCTCCGTCCTCGTTTCCTTCTTCCCCTCCTCGTCCTCATCCGCGTCCTCCTTCTTTCGTCGCGCGCGGAGGGAGGGAGGGAGGGAGGGAGGGAGGGAGGGAGGGAGGGAGGGAGGGAGGGAAGAGGAGGAGGAGGAGGAGTAAGAGGAGGAGGAGGAGGAGGAGGAGGAGGAGGAGGAGGCGCATGATACACCAAAGTCCCCAAGTTCTGGAGCCCGCTGCATCTGACCTACCCATCGCTCAAGGCGCGCGACGGTATGTGTTCCTCCCGCCTCACACAATTTCGGTTAAACGTTTAGCAAGGTATGATCTGCGGTTCCACGTTTCGCTCACTGAGTTGTGTTGGCGATGCGGTGTCCGCTCCATCCTTCACCCACCCCTCAAAAGTATGCTTCAAAACACACCGAATCGCACAGGCTCTGCCCCAATGACCCCAGAACCTAGAGCTCTTGGCCCTATCCCCGTGACCAGCCTAGCGCCGTCAGCTGTTTTTCGATTGGCCCCGAAAGTGGCTGCCCGTGGCGCACACGGGACAAGATACGCCCGTCGTGAGTTTGTTCGGCGGATGTTTGCGTCTGGCTCCGCGCGGAGCGTGTTCCTGAGGAGCCGATGCCCCAGGGCTCCAGGGAGGCAGTGGATATGGATGCTCCTTTGGGGGCCCTGGGGTCCAAAGATGTTGGTATCCGCTGCCTCCCAGGGTCCTGGCGGGCGCGATCCTCCGACCCCGTGTGCTCGGAACCCATCTAGGAGGAGCGGGAGGAGGAGGAGGAGGAGGAGGAGGAGGAGGAGGAGGAAGCGGAGGAGGAGGAGGAGGATGAGGAGGAAGCGGAGGAGGTGGAGGAGAAGGAGGGGAAGGGGGAGGAGGAGGAGGAGGAGGAGGAGGAGGAGGAGGAGGAAGAAGAGGAGGAGGAGGAGGAGGACCAGTGGAAACTCAAGAGTCATCAACGATGTTGGAATTAACCCTCCCCCCAAGCTCCCTCTTCATAGGCCCCCACAACGGTTCATCTTCATTGAGGAAGCTGCCTCGTTGTAAGACAACAATTTGAAGATCCTGAAGCATGCCAAAGCATTGTTCTCGGGATGTCAACGCCACGTATCAACCTGACTGCTGCGTCTTGACGATCCACAATCACGTCAGAACGCCGTTTTTGAGACTTCAACACGGCGAATCAACATAACTGTTGCGCCCGCATAATCCTGACCTTCCAAAACACCATTTCCGGTGATCATGGGAATCCGTGAAACCCTTGCACATTTAAGGAACAAGTGTACGCGGCGCTGAGGCGAGAGCCACATTTTGAAAAGGAATCGCCCTCAATCCGCGAAGCTCTTGCATTTTTTGTTACAAAAAAGAAAGAAAAACGAATGTGCGTGGTGCTAAGGCGAGAGCCACATGTTGAAAACCACCCGCCCTCAATCCGTGAAACTCTTGCAAGTGTTTGAGACGAATGCGCGCGGCGCTAAGGCGAGAGCCACATTTTGAAAACCACCCGCCCTCAATCCGTGAAACTCTTTGCAATTGTTTAAGACGAGTGTGCGCGGCGCTAAGGAGAGAGCCACATTTTGAAAACCACCCGCCCTCAATCCGTGAAGCTCTTGCATTTGTTTTTAAACGAATGTGCCCGGCGCTGAGGCGAGAGCCACATTTTGAAAGCGACCCGCCCTCCATCTGTGAAACTGTTCTCTTTTTTTTAACGTCAGAGTCATAAAGGGTGAGGAAGTCTCAGGCGAAACGGCCAGCCCGCCCTAAAAATTGGCCTCGGGGTGCGACAG